TTTGAGCATAAATGCTGAATGCAATGTAATTATCATACCACTACTCTTTTGGTAATTTAATCAGTTCAATGATAAATTAAATGAAATTCAGTTAATTTAGCACCTTAACCAGAAAGTATCTTTTATTACTGAATGTGGCTAAATTTATACCAGAAAGAGTGCAATATCAGACAGAATGTAGAAAGGACCACCAATTTGCCACTGCCCATTTTACACTACAGTCTGACACCAATTTCAGCCCCAAATTTCTCCAGTTATTCTTTAAATCCAAGAAATATGACATTAGGAAATTAGCCTTGTGGCTGTTCTGTGTGCTTCCCCAATTGTTGAATGGATCCCTTGTGCGTCAGTGACCAGAATGGCATGCAGTCCTGAAGGTATCATCTGACAAAAGGAGCAAACATTTGTCCTTATTTCCTGGAAAGTAAACCACCTGCACAATTCTGTTAGCTCTGGGGAGTGTGGTGAGGCACGACAGAGCTTTTTCAATGCCTGGCACTGAATCAATTCACTACACCCTGTTTACTGGAAAAGGATCTGGCAATCTTCATGTTAGAACTCGAACTTAGTTTTCTTTAAGTGTACAAGAGGACATATGTCAACATCTATTTTGTGGTTTGAAAAACCTGGATTGTTGTGTGCATTGATTTCCAAAAAGCATTTAATAAAGTTCTGTACATAAAGATAAAACTGACAGGGATTCAAGCTGAACCTTGGGGGCAGGTAAGAAATTTTGTTAAAAGTGGAAAAAAGCATGAATGGTAGCAAGGAGTGCATAGTGAAGAGTTACAGACAAGCTTAAAGTGCTACATGTAGAAAGATCCACATCTTTCTATTGTGGATCTATGCTCTATGATTGATGTTGAAAAAGCTCTGAACAATTGAACTCGTGTACTCTGATGACACCTTAAACTTTTACGAATTCTTTTATGGGATGAGGGTGTCTCTAGCAAAGCAAGTATTTGTTGTTCATCCCAAATTTCTCTTGTTCTGCACCACCTTCTTGAACTGCTGCAGACCCATGGTGCTGGAAAGGAGTTCCGGGATATTGTACCTTTTTGACTTTTCTATATTGCATTGCTTCACTGAATGGCTTGCTAGGCCATTTCAGAGGGCATTTTAGAGTCAACCTCATTGCTGTAGGTCTGGAGTCACATGTAGCCCAGACCAGGTACACTTCCCTTCCCTGAAGAATATTAGTGAACCAGATGGGATTTTATTATAACTGATATAGTTTCATGGTCATGTTTACTTACATTTCAATTCATGATTAATTACTTTTTTTAATAATTGAATTCAAAATCCATCAGCTGCCATTCTGAGATTTGAACATCTGTCTGCAGAGATTGAGGATTAGCCTGTGGGTTATTAGGCCATAGCCATGTTGCTGAAGTTCAGCAGTTTATTCTTTTGGACTGGGGCTGAAGTCCTTGGCTGAGGGTGCAGTACAATTATGAAGGAGGCAGCAGAAGGTTGGGAACAGTGTAATGCAGGTGAGGGGACAGGCGGTGTAGGCCATCCACGGTCAGAAACACCCTGGCTTCAAGGGGGCGGTTAGCAGAGAATGACGACTCTATGTGCAACTTAAATGCCAGAAGCTGGGTGGAAAGGGAAGGGTAGGCAGAGGTCAGTGTAGATGGGTTGGGTGAGGACACTGGGAACTATGAACCCTATGGGCTTGACAGGATGGGCTACTAGGAATAGGACGTGGCTATCTGGTGACTCAGTCAGGCTGAGATTGGAAGGGCTGGCAGAGGGAATGCTCATTCTCACTTTCCATTGTGCTGGAATTGAAAGTGTGTAATTGGAAGCAAATAGCTGCTGCCACACTTAGATTGGCTGGGTGAAGTGACTCAGTCTGTGAAGGAGGAGGCTGCATCAATAACCGCACATAGGGCTCTTAAGGGGAAACAGCATTGGTCACAGGCCCATGAAAGGTATAGGCCATAGGCTGTTTACTTCCTGACCATCCTGCAGCATTGACCCTCACTGGACATGGCAGTTCCCTGGCTCAGCCACTGCTGAACAAAACTCTCACAGCTATTCCTTTGTGCAAGGGGGTTTCGGATGTTAGGGGTGTTAAATCACCAGGGCCTAAGGGCTCAGCAGCACCCAGTAACATGTGTTCATGTTGATCACCCCTCCTCCCCGGTTTGCAGATGGCGAAGGAGGCTGTCTGTGCAGACCTCCATCCATTCCACCCCTCATGTGTGGCCATGCTGCTGGTTGGCATGGAAATGCATTGACCGCCTACACAGAGAGAAAGCAGATGAAAGCAGAGAGGAAGTTAAGGCTACCCACATTTATGTACATAATTTCCAAAGAAGTCTTCTTCAACCGTGTCACCAAATTGTCCTCAATACAGTTTCTTCTTTCTCTCCGTCACATTACGATTCTGTACACTCTCTGTTACCACAGATGGGGTGGTGGGAGCCTGATCTGATGTGGACCCTGTGGCCCTACTGGCTTGGCGGAGAAACCCTGGGGCACTTGTATCTGAACAGGCCAGACATGTCGAAGGTCTTCCCATGAGAGGCAAGGTGATTCTCCTTGGCTTGAACCTGCAAGGGTTGAGAGGAGGGGGGAAGGCAGGGTGCAGGTGGAGAGACAGGGGAAGGGGGAATTTGACACCAATCCAAAAGCTTTGTCCTCAGAAGGAAGCAGAGTAATGCCAGGAGACACCCAGTGGATGTGGAACCAGACTCAGGCCCCTGGGTGGTTTCTAGCCAGGACACTGCGGGTGCTGGGTCTGGTTTTCCATGAAGACAGACAGAATATCACAGGATTTACTGCACTAATGCAGCTTCTGGGCAATGAAGCTCATTGTGCCCGTTATGCTTGTCTGCCACTGCTATCCACCCCTGTGCATTTGGATGAAATTACTGCTGCTGTAACCATAGGGTCATCTCTTGCCTGGGGCTGAGCTGGCTGCAGGTCTCTGGCAGCTTCAGAATGCTCATACTCACCTGGGTGCACTGCGGCATCTTAAAAGCAGGCACCAGGGAGGCTGGATTTCAGGCAGATATCCAGTGAGCGGCAAGTTGTTCTGAGAATGGCACATGGGCAGACGGGCCATAAATCAGACATGAGAGACACCATAAGGTTTTGGTCAGTAATCACTGAAGCAAGCTTAGTAAAGTAAGGTGAGAAAACTGGCCAGGCCACGAGGCAAAAAAAGTCAAAAAAACCTCAACGCAACTCGAACTTAGCCAGAAAAAGTAAGATTCTGCCTAAAGGGTCATAAACTCTAATTGCAATATAAATTATTCATGTGGGTTGCAGAATCAAAGGACTGTGCTGAAGGTAAAATAATCAGATTAAATTTCTGTATGAGAACATCCCAAAGCATCCAATGTTGTCATTTAGCTGGGTGTTACTCACAGAAGGCTTGGTTTGGTTTAGTGTAGGCCACAGCTTACTGAGTTATGACGCAAAGGAAGTGAAGTGAGAGTGAAAACCTTTGACAACAAACCTGCATTCGAGTGAGTGAATTATCAAGGAGCCCTAGCAAAACTGGAAGCAATGGGTATCAGGGGGCAAGCTCTCCGGTGGTTGGAATCATACCTGGCCCACAAAAAATGGCTGTGGTTGTTGGAGTTCAGTCAGCTCAGCTCCAGGACAACTCTGCAGGAGTTCTTTAGGTGTCCTGGGCCCAACCATCTTCATCAATGACCTTCCCTCCATCATGAGGTCAGAAGTGGGGTTGTTCGCCAATGATTGTACAATGTTCAGCACCATTCGCGACCCTCAGATACTGAAACAGTCCAAATCAAAGAAGATCTGGACAATGTCCGGGCTTGGGCTGACAAGTGGCAAGTAACATTCATGCCAAACAATGCCAGGCTATTAGCATTGCCAATAAGAGACAATCTAACCACTGTCCCTTGACATTCAATGGTACTGCCATCACTGAATCCACCATTCATCATCCTGGGTGTTATCATTGATCAGAATCTCAACTGGACTCACCATGTAAACTCAGTGGTTACAAGACCAGTTCAGAGGCTAGGAATACTGCAGAGAGTGATTCACCTCTTGACTCCCCAGAGCCTGTTCATCATCTACAAGGCACAAGTGAGGTGTGTGATGGACTAATCCCCACTTCCTGGAGAGGTGCAGCCCCAACAACACTCAAGAAGTTTGACACCAGTCAGGACAGAGCAGCCCACTTGATTGGCACCACATCCACAAGAATCCACTCCCTCAACCACTGGCACTCAGTAGTAGCAGTGTATACTATCTACAAGATGCACTGCAGAAGTTCATCAAAGATCTTCTGACAGCATCTTCGAAACCCACGGCCATTTTCATCTAGAAGGACAAGGGCAGAAGATACATGGGAATGCCACCACCTTCAAGATCCCCTCCAAGCCACTCATCATCCTGACTTGGAAATATATCACCATTCCTTCTCTGTTGCTGCATCAAAATCCTGGAAGTACCTCCCTACGGGCATCATGGGTCATTACAGATGGACCACAGCGGTTCAAGAAAGCAGCTCATCACCAACTCCTCAAGGGCAACTAGGGACAGTCAATAAATGCTGGCCAGCCAGCGACACCCACATCCCACAAAAAATAAATTTTAAAAAGTGAATGTTAGTCAGGCTTGCACTTTAAACAAAGGAAATATTAACTTTATTGCAAACTGCATGAAATGCGATTGGGCTCTTAGCTCAGTTTGGAATTAATGGGTGGGAAAGGAGCTGGAAGATTTGCCTAGTTTGATGCTAGATGAAGAAATCTAAAGTGGTCTTTACAGAGTCTTGTGGCAGAAAGCAGTCAGCGACAGGGTTGGGGTTAGAGTTAGTTTGGAAGTTAGGTGTTTGCTAGCAGTCAGGACAAGGAACTGAGGAGTCCACCTTTGTGAAATCTTTAAGGAACAGTTGGAGGGTTGCTAGCCAAAATCTATTGGAACAATCCCATAAATTTTGTTCTGTGGAATGCTGACGAGAATAGAAATAAATTCTGGATTGAGTTTACACTTGTTCATTAGCTCACCGAGCCGGTTGTTCTGTGACATGCAGATGTTTCGTTACCCTTCTAGGCAACATCATCAGTGCGACCTCTAATCAAAGTGTAGGTATTCTGCTTCCTTCCGGATTTATATGATCCTCTGGTGTGATGGTCTTGTTACTTCCGGTTTTGTTGTTTTAGCAGTGGTCTGCATACGGGGTCTATTTCTATGTGTTTGTTAATGGAGTCCCGTGTTGAGAACCAGACTTCCAGAAATTCTCTTGTATGTCTGGTGTTCGCTTATCCCAGTACGGTCACATTGTCCCAGTTGAACTGATGGCCCTCGTTGTCTGTGTGTATCAAGACAAGTGAATATTGGTTGTGTCTTTTTACTGCCAGCTGGTGTTCGTGTACCCTGGTCATCAGTTTCCTCCTTGTTTGTCCAATGTAATGTTTATTGAACTCGCTCCATGGTATTCTGTATATTACGTTGGTCTTGTTTACTGTCAGTATGGGGTCTTTAGTCTTTGATGACATTTGGCGCAGTGCTGCTGTAGGTTTGTGTGCAATCATGATCTCATGCGGTCTTAGGAGTCTGGTAGTCGTTTCTGATATATTATCGATGTAGGGTAGCGTTGCTAGTGTCTTCTGTTGTACCGTGTTCTCTGACTCGTTTGTTTTGTAGGCATCTGCAGACAAAACGTCTTGGTGAATTGAGGTTACTTATCTTTGATGGATAACAGAAAAATTGCAGCTGTACAAAACTCTGGTGCGGCCGCACTTGGAGTATTGCGTACAGTTCTGGTCACCGCATTATAGGAAGGATGTGGAAGCATTGGAAAGTGTGCAGAGGAGATTTACCAGGATGTTGCCTGGTATGGAGGGAAGGTCTTATGAGGAAAGGCTGAGGGTTTTGAGGCTGTTTTCGTTAGAGAGAAGAAGGTTAAGAGGTGACTTGATAGAGACATACAAGATGATCAGAGGATTAGATAGGGTGGACAGTGGGAGCCTTTTTCCTCGGATGGTGATGGCTAGCACGAGGGGACATAGCTTTAAATTGAGGGGTGATAGATATAAGACAGATGTCAGAGGTAGGTTCTTTACTCAGAGAGTAGTAACGGCGTGGAATGCCCTGCCTGCAAAAATAGTAGACTCGCCCACTTTAAGGGCATTTAAATGGTCATTGGATAAACATATGGATGATAATGGAATAGTTTAGGTTAGATGGGCTTCAGATTGGTTTCACAGGTCGGCGGAACATCGAGGGCCGAAGGGGCTGTACTGCGCTGTAATGTTCTATGTTCTATGTTCTATGTTCTAAAATTGAATGAATCTTCAATACACTTGTATGTGTAGCGGAACTCTTGGCGGCAAGTTCAAAAGTAAAACTGAGTTCATAGCATATGTAATGACAAACAAGTTGCTAAGTTTATAGTGCTTTGCTTTTATCTACAATAAAAGTTGATTTTGTTTAAAATGTGCAATTTTGTGGTGTAGTTCATTTGTTAATTACTGTGTTTGAATACACAGTATCTTTAAACATCTACTGTCCCTAACAGAATTATAACACACTACAAATAATCCATTAGTATTCTGCCAGTTACTCATGGAATGAGACTGAGTTATGAGCTGTTAAAATTTAACTAAATAAAATACTATTGAGTTGTTGTGAGCAATCATGGTATAAATGCACCAGACCAGAACAGCTCTCCCACCTGCTTCTGAAATTATTCTGTTAAAAACCCACAGTCAAGGTCAGTGTGCAGACTACTTAAACAGATTGGCATTTTACAAGAAGGAAAACAAAAAACTAGCATAACAGAATCTATTTGGATATAAGGTCCAGAAATTAAATGAATCAAAGTAACTGCAGTTTATGCAGGTATGCGTCATTAATGTCTCCGTGGAGTTCAATAAACAATATAATCAGGAGTGTCAGATTCTAAGATCTTCAAATGTGTGTATTTCACTTTACTGGTTAAATAGAATTTAGTTTGCCTTAATGGGCTTTGCACATAAATTATTCAATTGGAAACATGAGTGATTTACTGGTGCTGTTTAATAGATGAAAGTAAAACCACAGTGATTTGGTGATGGGAAAAAGAAAGTTCAGTTCTGTATGATAACACTTCTGGATATATAAAAAATATAGGATTTAGTTTAACCTTAACATATAATATCTGCCACCACAAGAAGGGTATTTCACAAGTTTTCTAATGCAATTGACCATAATTAGAGGATAAATTTTAGCTTTGTGACATATGAGATTAGGTTTACCAGAGATCAGTCTGCTTAAGATCATAATTTCAAATTGTTGAAAGAAAGCTTAACTGATAAAGAGCCTTAGATGGTTTGATAAATTGGAAACCTACCATGGTAACGCACTGTACTTAATCCAGCTTTGCAGTAGAACTATGTCACGACTCAACAAAATTACATACTTTGCATTTTGCTGATGCAGTATTTTAATGGTATAACTAGATGCACATGACAAAATGTAGAGGGGCCAGTCAATTTTCCATTCCACTCTGTAAGGAACTAACAAAGGAGAGGGGTTGTGGGGAGCTGGTGAGCGGCAGATCCGGTCCATTCCTCCTGGCCATGGCAGTCACGGCTTGAGCAACGGCTCCAGCAACGATGGATCAGGGTTGGTTCTTTTCCTTTGGTGGTGTCTGCAACAGCGGCGGAGTGGATGATCCCTCGGTCCTCAGGAGTTAATTTGGATGGTCTGTCGGTCCTCAGAATTGAGATGGGCCCTGGTCCTCGAGAGTTGGGATAGTCTCTTGGCTATGGCAGTGGCTGGAGTATCAGCGGCGATGAAGTGGCTTTAGCAGCGTCTGAGTTCTGGGTCCAATTAGCAATGGTGGGGGCTGCTTCAGCGTACTTCCTTCTTTTTGTTGCAGCCTTAGGCAATAGTTTGGTGGCTGCGGAGTAAGGAGTATGCCATAGCCACTTAAGAAATCAAGAAGCTGTGGATGGAACAAAAAAAAGAAATTTGTCTTAACTTTGTATGCATTATTTCTTTTTATAATTTATGTAATTAAAATGGCACCAGATTAGGGCGATTTATACACATTTTATTTTCGAAAATACAAGTAACAGCAAATTACTATGCTAACTAGAATCTGCTGAGTACGCTGCCTTTCATAATGTACTCATCTTATTGATAATTCAACTATGACTTTTATTCTACCACTTTAAAATATCAAAACATCAAAATAAAATGTCATCGATCCAATTGACCAAAACCAAGTTAACTTTTTAAAATTAATTTAATTATATCACAGAATGGGGTTATGCTGGCTAGACCAACATTTATTGCCCACCCCTAATTCGTCCTGAGAAGGGCATGATTCTTATACCTTCTATTAAATTTTGACCACTCCAATACATTAGTAATAGTCAATTTAAAGTAACTGTTAAATGTTCTTATAATATTATCAAATGTATTTATTTCTTCTCTTGCATACCATCTGATAAAACATGGCCTCCTCCTGAATTTACAGAATAAAGAAGTGTTTGCTTGTTCTTCTCTAGATTGTTTTCATAATTTTCTGAAGCAATTCTATATCTCTACTTTATAGCCCAGTTTAATTTCCTGTATGAATTACTTATGATTTTAAATCTGTGTGAAATATATCTTTCTCCATAGTCACTGTGTTTAACCAATGCTGCTTTTCTTGCTTAAATGAGTTACTTGGAAGTTGTTGCAGGAGCTTTTAACTTTTATGTAAATGCAGCTGGTTTTGCAATTCAGAATTTTGTGCATTAATTTCAATTGTATCAAATGTTAGGTTTACTTCAACAAGTTTATTTGAATGTTTGAAATAACTTCCTTTAATTTCTGGATAGTTAAGATGTATTGCTAATAAAGTTTTGTCATTAAGAATCTTTGCTATCTTCATGAAGCTTTTTCTTTACTTCTATCTTCTTATTTTCATTTCCAGAAATGTTCAATAGTTCGTGTATTAAAATTGAGAAACTTATAAACGCCGCAGAATTTTCCTACTATTTATGCTGAAAAAGTGTTTCCAGGTTTTATTGAGCATTGAAATTGCTGCTTTAAAATGAGGAAATACTAGATTTTCATTTCTTCCCAAGATGGAGGAATTTCCTCCTTTTTTCTTAGCGGGTTTCATCTTCTTTTAATTAATATGTATGTTATGCACCCTTACTGTTCCTTCTTCCAGATAATTGTGACATTTAAATTGAAACAAATGGCATTGTGCTGTTATGGCAGTTTTAAGAATAATTTTGGTTGAACAATAAAAATTTGTTTTGTCTTCAAAACACAGATTTTCAATAAACTCTTCTTCAATCTTCAATTGTTTTTCATGCTAATTAGTCAAAGCATATGCCATTTTAACTATTTTCCTAACAAATGCCATTTTCTCAAAGTCTTTTTTGCTGCCTTTCCCGATGATTTTAAATGATTATAGCAATGCTTGCCTGTTAAACATAGTGATTATAAATTTCTTTCAGCATTTCAATCTTGAATTTTTGATTAATTGTAAATGTTTTTACCTTTTCTCCAAGGGACATAATTTACTTCAAGTATTTGATATCAACTGCTGTATCCCAAGTCTATGATTTGAATTTTCCCCTTGTAACTCTTGTAAACGGCATGGTCTCTGCAAGATTTTCAATATTTTGATTACTTCAAGCTGTTTTGAGTTTTAAGAGACAGGTTTGGCACTTTCATGGCTTCTGCAGCCTTTTTACATTTGGCTGCTACTTTCACGAAAGTTGCTAACTACACTCATACCTTTCTGAATTAATTTTTTTCTTCTTTCTTCACCTTTGATGGTTGTTTTTTATTCACTCATGGGACGTAGGCATTGCTGGTTGGCCAGGATTTATTGCCTGTCCCCAGTTGCCCTTGAGAAGGTGATGTTGAGCTGCCTTCTGGAATCACTGCAGTCCACATGATGTAGGTTGACCCACAATGCCTTTAGGGAGGGAATTCCAGCATTTTGACCCAGTGACAGTGAAGGAACGGCAATATATTTCCAAGTCAGTATGGCAAGTGGCTTGGACAGGAACTTGTAGGTGGTGATGTTCTCATCTATCTGTTACTCTTGTCCTTCTGGATGGAAGTAAGTGTGGGTTTGGAAGGTTTTGTAGAACTGAAGATATTTTTCATGAGATCACCATTGCTAGCATATTATATGAGACAGTAGTGTTCACCACTGATACCATCTTGTAATGTAACGGGCATCTCTGCCTGAACCATTTGGGTAGATACACTGCCACCATCTTGGTATTGGTTTTGGTCTATATTAACAATACCAAGTAGGGAAGGATACCCATGTGACATATTCAACAGAAAATAGGCACAGGCCATACTTAATGGAATAGTTTTATTGCAAAATACTTAAGAACTAATTACATTACATCTGGGTTACATGAGACTCCACAGGAAGACCACAAGTTATTTTGTTTGCACTACTGCTTAGCTATGTTGCTTAGCACTAGAGACTGAACTGGTTAGCTCCTCCCAGAGACAATTCTTCATATCCTGATGGGCAGAGTTTATCTTGTGATGTTAGTTAACTCTTTCAGGTACTAACTGGCTTATATAACACTGGGAAACTGCCTTCTTCCATTACTGCAGTCCATGTTTCGCAGGTGTATCCACAGAGATGTTAGAAAGGGGGATCCAGGGATTTGACTCAGCAACAGTGAAGGAATTACAATATAGTTCTGAGTTAGGATGGTGTGTGGCTTGGAGGAGAATGTGTAGAGGGTGTTGTTCCTGTGCATCGACTGTCTACTCCAACACAAGTGCAGAGAGCAGAAGCAACTTCTATACCTGGCCTTCCTTGACCTCACAGAGGCTTTCAAGTATGTCAACCAGCAGGAATCAAGAATGGCATAGCAGACTACTGAAAGGCCTACTTCTGCTCCTACATCTTAAAGTCTTATGGAAACATTTGGGCCCTGATACTGTAGTTAAATTCCTCATTTACATAAGCAATGTGTCTAAAATCTGTTCCACATGAATACCTGGGGGCACTTGGGCAGCTGTGTATGACACACCGTAGTGCTTGTAACCCAACACTATTGGATGTGGGCATTATTGCAATTGGTCCTTGTTTTGCCCATTTTCTGCATGTCAAATGAATCCAACTATGTGCTGTTTCTACCTCATGATTTCTTCTCATGCCTGCAATTTCCAAATTTTAATTCTGTCATCGATGGGTGCGGGTTATAAAACATAAGCAAATAGCATGCATTTTCCTATAGGGAGGGACTGAGATAAGATTGCAACTCCTGGAACAATATTGGTAGAAGCCTGGGAACATTTTGTTTTCCTGGCTTCTGATCAGTCAGTATGTGGTGTCAAGAGAGTAAGAAAAGTACAAAATAGCATTTATGAATCACTTCATTCATTAGATTGGAAAAAAAAAGCTCCATTACATCCTACTCTTGACCAGCATTCTATCTGCACAATAACAGGCATTTAGATTTAAGGAGCAATCTCAGTGAAGAATTTGGATGATAGTATGAATTGATAGCATGAAATTTAATGAAACTTCATAATAAATTACATTTTCAAAGCTGATTGGGGAAGCTGTGTCGAATATGCTCAGCACAGCTAACCTTGTGCCCCATGCTTAGAAAGACCCTTGCAGAGGCATCTCCTGTTTGCACCAAAAACAAGTCCCATCATGACACCAATTTTATAATCATGAACAATTCTACTTATTCACCTACCAGGCAGTAAGGAGTAAATGTTTACTTGTGAGATGGGTCCAGCACAGGCATTGTTTAAAGTGGCAGAGATTTAATTCACACATCAGGAAATTCAGGATGACATCTGCTCTTGGAATGCATTGAGAATTGCTGTGGAGAGTTTTTAAAAGGTTAATTATGAGATTTGGTAGGGAGCATTGCTGCATCTTCACATGAATGGCAAGGGAGTAGATAATGTAATGGATTGGGAGGCAGCAACAGAAGTGTTTCTGAGTTTGCAACATGGTGAAGCAATCACTGGTGAGAAGGCTGGCTCTGCCTAATTATCCCTGCCAACTTGGAATTAGATTTTTCCAAGCTCCTTGATACTGACCAGAGGCTGGCCAAAGCTCCAACATCTCAGTCTGCATTCTCATCAGCATTATCCTGTCTGCTGCCCCGGCGTCATCGATGATCTCGCCCATTAGTTACCTCTGGCCTTGTTTTAGTCCTTTCACACTCGGTGACTCGCCACACTCAGATCCTAACCTCCAGTGTACATGATGTGCCAGTATCTGAGTGGGTGGCTGTGGATGTCACGCTAAGTAGTAGGATTGCGTCGTTAGTATTTCCCTTCTCATTTCTTTCTTCCTCATAGATGCCGTGGTTGGACTGGAAGCAGATCCCGGGGCTATGACAGCAAGATAGATGAGTGTTGGAGATATTGTGTATTGAAGATTGTTAGTTTGGCAGAGCAGTCAGTTAAGTGTTGCCCTTTGAAGATATATTCAATAACCTTGATCGTCCATGTGTGGTGATTAGATTTCTTATGGCACTGCTACCAGGTCCTCGGGGACGGACTCTTCAACTTGATCTCCTTCACAACCTGCTCCCACTTCCTCCTGGCAGTGTCCTTGAGGTTAACCTCCACTCTATTATGTGATGAAACATAGCCTTCATCCTTCAGTCCGCCACCATTATTAAGGCCTTCAGTATCACATCCAGGAATGTGGAACTGCTGCCTCTGTCCTGGTGCTCTATTTCTCATTGCTTTAGAATTGCAGCACTGATCATCAGCAGGAGCCTCCTCTGATTTAGTGCAAACTTCTTTTCAATACTACCCTTCAGATGAGGAAGCTGTCTGCACCATGAGGTCTCCTCAACCCAGCATAGCACCTGGTTAAGTGCTCCAGCAGAACTCAACCCATCATCAAGTATTTGAGAAGGTAGCAGTGAGTTTGCAATGGATGCAGGCAGCTTATGAATCACAGGCCCTGCTCCCAAAAGAAAGTGCATGGACAAAATTCTAGTCCCAGCAATAATCTGAACTCTGAGGTAAGACTACCATCTTGTAATTGCTTTTAAACTCTGCAAATTTGAAATCTAGCCTACTACACAGTTGAGTAAGTTTTATCAACTACCAAGCTGAGCTAAGCTAATTTGGCTTTTGAGTTTCTCTTTAGTTTACATAATAAGATGTTGTAAAGACTGTGTAGGTGTAACCTCCTGAGACCATTCTAATGTTGATAATGCCTCCATGAAGGTGCTGTGTCAATGTGATCATATTAGGAGATTGATAACTCTGATGAAATTACAGCAATTCTAACACAAAGACTATCTATCTTAGACATCTTAGGAAAAAAAATTCAAAATAGTTGCCTTAGCCTCAGATCAAAGTTAATTTGGCCAAGAAAGGTGTAAACATGATCAGAAGAAAATGAGATAACAAGGTGTAGAGCTGGATGAACACACCAGACCAAGCAGCATCAGAGGAGCAAGAAGGCTGACGGAAGGGTCCAGACCCGAAACGTCAGCTTTCCTGCTCCTGATGCTACTTGGCTTGCTGTGTTCATCCAGCTCTACACCTTGTTATCTCAGATTCTCCAGCATCGGCAGTTCCTACCATTTCAGAAGAAAATGAACCATTTTGATATGCTATATAATGGTATTAAATCTAAATATGTTTCATTCCAAGAAGCAAATTTGTAAATGTTGATGTTCAAGAGTAATCAAACATGGAACATAGAAAGTTAGCATGCAGGTACAGCAAACAATTGGGCATGCAAACGGCATGTTGAGCTTGTGGTGAGTCTGTATAGAATACTAGGTCTATTTGTGGTCTCCATAGTTAAGGATGGCTGTACTTGTATTGTAGGTAGTACAGCAAAATTTCATTGGATTTAGACCCTGAATTGAGAGGGTTGTCCTGTGATGAGAGGCTGAATAAATTGAGTCCATATTCATTGGGGTTTAGAAGAATGAGAGGTAACCTAATTGAAATATACAAGATTCTGAAGGGGCTTGACAGGATAGACACTGAGAATTTGCCAGGGGAATCTAGAACACGGGGGAACAGTGACAGGTTAAGGGATGATTATTTATAACTAAAATTAGGGGAAATTCCTTCAGTCATAGGGTTGTGAATCTTTGGAATTGTCTACCCGAGATGACTGCAGATGCTCAATCATTGAATATATTCAAGGCTTCTGGTCCCTCAGGAATCAGCAATACGGGGGACAGACAGGAAAGTGGGATAAAAGTCTACAATTAGCCATGCATAGTGGAGCTCACTCAATGGGCATTTTTTATGTGATTATGTTTGTGAATTTGAAGTGTCATGCTTTAAATGGTTAATCTTCAAATAAAAAAAAACTTGGCTCCATGATTACTTGTTTCTTCTAAAGCTGCAAGGAAACTCCCTAGTCCAGCTGATTTCATTAATGAGCAAACATGCCAAGGAAACACTTCTGTCAACCATGCAGCTGTAACAGCTGAGGAAAAGATGAATTTCATAATTTGAAGAAACAGGATCTTTCAAAACAGTGAAGTTCTATATTGAGAACATCTAATAACTGCTCCTTGAGTAAATGGCTGAGTAATCCCTGAACTGTTATGACTCCATAAGCTGGTTAAACTGTTTGGATTGCTGATGACCCCAGTGGCCCAACCTTTCCAGCTTCTTTTTTATTCTTTCCTGGGATGTGGCTGGGCCATCATTTATTTCCCATCCCCAATTGCCCTCAAGAAGGTGGTGGTGAGCTCCCTCTTGAACCACTGCAGTTCATTTAGTGTAGTTCATACTGTCATAGAACATAGAACAGTATAGCACAGTAACAGGCTCACCATTGCCCATCTTCTTTAAGCTTTTTCCTCTCACCTTAAACCTATGCTTCCTAGTATTTGATATTTCCAGCCTGGGCAAAATCAACTCTGACTATCCATCCCATCCAGGCCTCCCATAATTTTATATACTCTGTTGGATCGCCCGTCAGCCTCCAATGCTCTAGCGGAAACAATCCAAGTTTGACCAATCTCTCTTTATAGCTAATGCACTCCAATCCCGGCAATGTACCAGTAAACCTCTTTTGCACCATCTCCAAAGTCTCCACATCCTTCCTATAATGTGGTGACCAGAACTGCGCACAATACTCCAAATGTGGCCTACCTAGAGTTTTATACAATTGCAACATGTCTTGCCAACTTTTATACTTAATAGCCCGACTGACGAAAGCAAGCATGCTGTACATCTCTACCACCCTTTCCAATTGTATTGCCACTCTCAGGGAGCTATGGACTTGGATTCCAAGATCCCTCTGTATATCAATGCCCCTAAGGGTCTAGCTATTTACAATATATCTTCCTCTTGCATTTGACCTCCCAAAATGTATCACCTCACACTTGGCTGGATAAAATTCCATCTGCCATTTCTCTACCCAACTTCCCAGCTGATCTATATCGTGCTGCATTTTTTGATGCCCTTCCTCATTATCAAGAACACCACTAATTTTCTGTAAACTTACTCATCAGATCACCGACATTTTCATCCATTTATACATTTTGCAAATAACAGAGGTCCCAGACTGATCTTGTTGAACACTAGTGATCACAGACCTTTGATCAGAATATCACTCCTCCCCAGTGACCCTCTGTTTTCTATGACCAAGACAATTTTGTATCCAACTTGCCAACTCAACATGGTTTCCATGCAGTTTGATCTTCTGGACCAGTCTGCCACGAGTGACCTTGTCAAATTATTTAGTAAAGTTTGTTCATAATATCCACTGCCTTACTCTCATCAATCACCTTCACCACTTCCTCAAAAAATTCAATCAAGTTTGTGAGACAAGACCTCCACTGCATAAAGACAAGCTGACTTTTCCGAATAAGTCCGTTCTTCTCCAAATACAAATGAATCCTGTCCTTAAGAATCTGCTACAATTAATTCCCTGCCACTTACATAAGGCTCATTGGCCTATAATTCCCTGAATTATCTCTGTTGCCATTCTAGTAAAAAGGAACAACATTGGCTATTCTCCAGTTTTCTGAGGCATCACCTTGGGAAGGAATTCCAGAATTTTGATCCAGAAACAGTGATGGAATGACAATATATTTCCATGTCAGGACGGTTAGTGGCTGATAGAGGTCTTGATATATTTTCATGGGCCCTAGAAGTACTTAAGCCACATTTTCGAAGTAGAAGTTGGAAGGGAGGAGTCAGGTAAGAGAATTATTTCAAAGTTGTTTCTCCGAAAACAAAAAGGCAGGAAAAAAAATCTGTCAGTAAGTCAATTCAAAATGCTAAAGCTATCAAAGTTAATGGAAAATAGAGTGAGGAAAAGGAAAATGGATTTACTATATTTAAAGATAGTAAGAACTGCCAGTGCTGGAGTCACAGATAACACAGTTTGGAGCTGGAGGAACACAGCAGGCCAGACAGCATCTGGGGAGTAGAAAGTTGACATTTCAGGTTGAGACCCTTCTTCAGAAATGGGGGACGGGGAAGGAAGCTCTGAAATAAATAGAGAGGGGGGGTGGGGCTGGGGAAGGTAGGTGGGATGGTGGTAGGTGAGTGCAGGTAGGCAGTGGTGGGGATTGGTCAGTGAGGTGGGAGGAGCAGATAGGTGGTGGTGAAGATGGACAGGTTGTGTCAGGTCAAGGGGGCGGGGATTAGTCAGAGGGTTGGCCATGGGATGAGGCTGGGGGTGGGGAAATTTCGAAACTAGTAAAGTCCACATTGAGGCCATCGGGTTGTAGGCTCCCAAGGCGGAATATGAAGTGTTGCTCCTCCAGTTTCCAGGTGGCGTCATTGTGTCACTAGAGGAGGCAGGATGGACATGTCGTCCAGGGAGTGGGAGGGGGAGTTAAAATGGTTCACAACTGGAAGGTGTTGTCCTTTGTTGCAAACAGAGCACAGGTGCTCTACAAAGTGATCTCCCAGCCTCCACTTGGTGTCACCGACGTAGAGGAGGCCACATCAGGAGCAGCAGATGCAGTAGACCACATTGATGGATGTGCAGGTGGACATCTGTCTGATGTGAAAGGTTTATTTCGTTCCTTGGATGAAGGTGTAGGGGCAGATGTAGCACTTCCTGCAGTTTGCAGGGAAAGGTGCTGGGGGTGGTGGGGCTCGTGGGGAGTGTGGAGCAGACAAGGGAGTCATGGAGAGAGCGGTCCCTACAGAAGGCAGATAGGGGTGGGGAGGGAAATATATCTTTGGTTGTGGGGTCAGATTGCAGGTGGCAGAAGTGGCGTGAATGATACGTTGAATCTGGAGGTTAGTGGGGTGATACGTGAGGACAAGGGGGATTCTGTCTTTGTTTTTGTTGTGTGGAGGGGATGTGAGGGCAGAAATGTGGGAAATGCAAGAGATAAAGTTGAGAGCATTTTTGATCACCGAAGGGGTTATGTTGTGGTCCTTGAAATAAGATACAATATTTTCATGCAGTTTTTAATTCCGAAACAATCGCTGTGAAAAATAACTTGCACTTATAAATGCTTTTCATAAGTCCAGAAGCACATAGCTTTTTACAGGCAATGAAGTGTATCTTGAAGTGTTGCCATAGTTGCTTATTCATACAGAACTTGAGAATTGCAAAAATTAAAACCAGGTTTTGTTAAAGCTTTCTTCTTATCAGGACAACTTGCAAGAAAAAATGCCACGCTGTGAACCCAACTGAACTATCCTAAATTGATTGTCAATATAATTCTTTATATACATAGAATTATTTAGCCAAAGTTATCCAATGGCAGAATCACATCCAATGAGGGTTTTTGTTTTGCAATTTTGTTTTGGGACCAACAACTTTGAACTTTGTAGATGCAGACTGGTTGGTTCTCGTCAGTACCTTGCTTGTTGTGAACAGCTAATGATTTGCCCGTCTTTGGCACATAGGGCTGACATACCTAGTGTCACATTGGACATGAAAGTCATACACCACAACACTCACCTCTATGAAAGGCACAACATCTCTTTGTTTTGATGACAGCAGACAGTTGGTGACAAACACTGCTTACGTTGTTACTGCACAGGAGCAGTGTTGTTCATCTGTTTGTCAAAAGTAAGGAATACTTTATTATCTGACATAGACTGGGACTTTTTAGGACTGAAAATTAGCCCCATTCATGAGTTTGAATGATATATATCAGGATAGCCACCGATCCACAGGATGGAGCCATATTTCAGCTACAAGCTTACACAGTTTACAAATTGCTTGGACCATATTTGAATAGTTGCTGATAGGGTCAGACCATTGCACGTAGAGCTAGAGGAAGCCTAATGTGTATATATATAGACCAATGAAGGTTGGTTTGCAGTGGACAGTGGTAAAGAATCCCTGGACCATTACTCAACTCGGACTACAAGGAAAGGGAGCTTATTTGACTGCTCCATTTCAAAGGTGAATTTGAGCGCAGGATGGACCCTACTAAGACATATTAAGAAATTCTTACATACAGCTACAGATTCAAATTTACCAAATATGTGATCTACATATTGGAAATAAGCAAGGGGTAGAAGGTTAGTGTCATTCCATTAAAGACACATTCCTTGTTGAGCCTTGTGAAGATACATATATTAATCCATAAGGTCTGTTCTTTTTAGGCAGAAAGAAAATGCATACACTAGTGGATGTTTCAACTCAGAAAAGTAGGTGACAGCCATTTTCTATGTTCATTTCTAAGGGCAATGCCCTGACCATTCAATTTTGGTCTTGTTACTGTAGGAAAGATGTGAAACTTGAAAGGTTTTAGCAAAGATTTACAAGAATACTGCCAGGGTTGGAGGGTTTGAACTATAGGGAAGTGGTTGAATAGGCTGGGGCTATTTTCCAAGGAGCATTGGAGGGTAAGATGTGACTTTATAGATGTTTATAAAATCATGAGGGGAATGGATTGGGTGAACAACCAAGGTCTTTTCCCCAGGGTATGGGAGTCCAAAACTAAAGAACATAATTTTAAAGAAAGGGAAAAGATTTAAAAGGGACCTAAGGGGCAAAATTTCGCGCAAAGGGTGGTGCATATATGGAACAAGCTGTCAGAGGAAGTGATAGAGTCTGGTACAATTACAACATTTAAAAAGTATCTTGATGGGTACATGAATAGGAAAGGTTTAGAGCAAATGCTGGCAAATGGGACTAAACTAATGTAGGATAGCTGGTTGGCATGGATGTGTTGGACCGAAGGGTCTGTTTCCATGCTGTACATCTCTATAACAGTTACAAAACTATCATTTTCATAAATGTAGAATTTAATCAATGGTATAGATTTCAACCCCTTGGTAGCCAAATACCAGTGTGCATAGTGCAAACCTGTGTAAGATCAAAGGGACAAAATAATTTTCATGCAGCGACCTCATCTGAGTTGAACTGGCAGGTACATGACAACTCAGTCCTCTTTTTGGGAAACAATTGGCTGGCCATGCATTGTTTACACTGACTAAATTTCCTGAATTTCAACTCAGTTGTTTGTATCTAGGTTAGTTGAATGATGTTAATGAAGCAGTTTGATTCTTGCAGCAATCCCGATGTTTCCATGTGTCTTCAAATGGCTAGTCCAGTTGCTGAATTAGAAGGCTACGATACCCAATTCAAGCAGTTATGAGGAGCAACAGGCATTCAAGTGGACACCCCTGATTGTATCGATGCTCTTCATGTGAAAACACTTAGCATTTATGTCTTTGAGAAGTTATTTATTGTTGACTAGCCATTTATAAGCAATTTTTAAATAAAATGCAGTAAGTATATCACTACGATAGAATAGCTACTTGCTCTTTCATTAATGTTCAAGAATGTGGCACAGGTGAACTTAGACAATGTGATTTTCCTCAAGTGTCTGGTGAAGTATTTATTGTGCAATACATCAAGTAATAAATTGGTGTAACTGAATTTCTGGGTGTGTTTAAGAAAGAATAAATGAGCTGGCATTTATAGGATGTTCCACAGGGCTCCAAGCCAGCGAATTATTTTTGAAGTGGTTGCAGTTTGTAGGCTAATAAGATAGAAAAGTCTCACAATTGAGGAAACAGATAATAAATATACTGCAGGGTGACTCAAGGGAGGCACGGTGGCTCAGTGGTTAGCACTGCAGCTTCCCAGCAACAGGTACTTGGGTTTGAGTCCAGTCTTGGGTGACTGTCTGTGTGGAACTTGCAAGTTTTCCCCATGTCTGCATGGGTTTATGCTGGGTGCTCTGGTTTTCCCCCTACAGTCCAAAGCTGTGCAGGTTAAGTGAATTGGCTATGCTAAAATTATCTGTAGTGCTGAGGGATGTTAGGTGAGGTGGATTAACCATGGGAACTATGTGGTTAAGGGATAGGGTGGAAGGATTAGGTCTGGGTGGAATGCTGTTTGGAGGGTCAGTGCTGACTTAGTGGGCCAAATGGCCTCTTTCTGCACTGTGGGATTCTGTGATTAAACTGGCGATGTATATTTTTAAGTGAGGGTCTAAATTGACTCTGGAGTGAAGCGGAATGAGACTTTGTGGATGGAGGTAGGGTGACCAACTTCAGTAAGAAACTACAATGGTGTGTAAATCTCGTGACTGTGTCAAATTTGAGCAGTTTATAAACTCACCTAACGTCAGTGAGGATCTTCCCGTTCGCATTTCTTGAACCATTACATCTTTAACTGGTGGTGGATTGCTCTGCCCACGCCCATATCCAAGGATGTACACAGCTATCCCTTGGGTAAAGTTGTTCCAGACAAAGTCAACGCTTTTCTGGCTGACTTAGAGCCCTGATTGTAGACACCGGCTTCTATCAGACTGGCAGCTTGTGAAGTTGTAACGTCAAGACTGATATCAGTTAATTTGGCCTCTTGTGATGTTGCTTAATTACTCAATCTACCGTCAGCCAAGATTTAATCAAATGGCTGTTATTAAAGTAGGCTTTTCCTGATGCTGATTTGGTTTGATTTTTCTCCTGTCAATGGGAGAAGTTTGGAAAAAGTTTAAAAACAGGAAATTTTGTCATGCTGAAACATAAATTCCACTCATATACTTAGTGAAAGGCTGACAGATGCAGGCTAACTGCTAGCTGAGCTGTTCTGTTACACAGGAAATGTGTTGGCACGTTCATTAAGGGTGTTGGAGAAACATTAGATAACAAAGCGTGACTTGCAACTTCTAGTATTTTTTTTATTTGTATAGTGGGAAATAAGTAAAATTTCATAACAATGGGATTAAGGCGATGCCTTGTAAACTAGGACTGTAAGGCACATTTTAGCACGTAGGAACCTCAAGCAGCTTAAGGTTTGACATTGGCAAAGATATCTGAAGAAGTAGTAGGAACTGCAGATGCTGGAGAATCTGAGATAACAAGGTGTAGAGCTGGATGAACACAGCAGGCTAAGCAGCATCATCGGAGCAGTAAAGCTGACGTTTTGGGCCTAGACCCTTCTTCAGAAATGGGGGAGGGGAAGGGGGTTCTGAAATAAATAGGGACAGAGGGGGAGGCAGATAGAAGATGGATAGAGGAGAAGATAGGTGGAGAGGAAACAGACAGGTCAAAGAGGCGGGGATGGAGCCAGTGAAGGTGAGTGTAGGTGGGGAGGTAGGGAGGAGATAGGTCAGTCCAGGGAGGACGGACAGGTCAAGGGGGCAGAATGAGGTTAGTAGGTAGGAGATGGGGGTGCGGCTTGAGGTGGGAGGAAGAACAGGTTAGGGAGGCGGGGACGAGCTGGGCTGGTTTTGGGATATGGTAGGGGGAGGGGAGATTTTGAAGCTTGTGAAATCCACATTGATACCATTGGCTGCAGGGTTCCCAAACGGAATATGAGTTGCTGTTCCTGCAACCTTCGGGTGGCATCTTTGTGACACTGCAGGAGGCCCAGGATGGACATATCGTCTGAGGAATAGGAGGGGGAGTTGAAATGGTTTGCGACTGGGAGGTGCAGTTGTTTATTGCGAACCAAGCGTAGGTGTTTTGCAAAGCGGTCCCCAAGCCTCCGCTTGGTTTCCCCGATGTGGAGGTGGCCATAACGGGTACAACGGATGCAGGTGCAGGTGAACATCTGCTTGATGTGGAAAGTCTTCTTGGGGCCTGGGATGGGGGTGAGGGGGGAGGTATGGGAGCAGGTGTAGCACTTCCTGCGGTTGCAGGGAAAAGTGCCGGGTGTGGTGGGGCTGGAGGGGAGTGTGGAGCGGACAAGGGAGTCACGGAGAGAGTGGTCCCTCCGGAAAGCAGATAAGGGTGGTGGTGGGGTCGGATTGCAGATGGCGGAAGTGTCAGAGGATGATGCGTTGGATCTGGAGGTTGGTGGGGTGGTACGTGAGGACGAGTCTGAAGAAGTATCTTGTTTACCTTAAGCCCTAGATCAGCACTGACAGCAGACTAAAGAGTATAAACAGATTCTTCAGCAGGATAAGCGAAAGACCTAAGATGAGATATTTCTTTTTACTGCACAAGAATGAAATGTAACCAATGTATGTGCATACATTGGATTAGAATTGTTAGTACTTGGTTTTGACTAGCACAACCACAGTTTGCCGAAAGGCCTTTTCCACTGCTGTTGATTTCTATGACTCGATGACCATATAGCAGTTGATGATATTCTATACATATCGGACAGACATGGGACAGAATAGCTGACCGAATTCTCTTTAGCCAGTCTAAGGGTGAGGTTGTTTGAACAAACGTAAGGTTAACCTGCAGACCCAAGTTCTCTTGTTGTCTGCAAACTACAACAGCAACCTGTATAGAATCCCTCCGGTGCAGAAGCAGACCATTTGGCCCTTCAAGTCCACACTGCCCCTCCAAAGAGCATCCCACCCTATAACCCTGCCTTTCCCGTGGCTAATCCACCTGACCTGCACATCTTTGGGCTGTGCGAGGAAACCAGAGCAAACCCACACGGACAAGGGGAGAATATGCAAACTCCACACAGTTACCCAAGGGTTAGCTGGGTCCCTGGCACTGTGATGTAGCAGTGCTAACCATTGAGTCACCATACTACCTGAAGTTGAACCAGCTTTAATATATTTGGTACATTAAGAGAGTTTTCAGAGGAACATTTACAGAGTTGATGTGATTTGATTTATTGTAATCATGTGTACCTGAGTACAGTGAAAAGCTTTGTTTTGTGATCAGTACAGGCAGATCATAACAAACAAGGAGATAGAGATCAAAGGGTGCTTAGACTGAGCGAGGCACACAGGTTACAACTGCATGGGAGGTGCACAAAGCAAGATCAACATTAGCAAGATCAACAGTATTTGAAATCAGAGAGTCCATTCATCAGTCTAATAATGGCAGGGAAGAAGCTATTCTTGAATCTGTTGATGTGTGTGTTCAAGCTTCTGTATCTTCTGCTTGATGGAAGAGGTTGTAGGAGAGCATTACCAGGGTGGAAGGGGTCTTTGATGATGTTGACAGCCTTTCCACTGCAATGAGAAGTGTAAATGGAGTCTTTGGTTGGAAGGTTAGCTTCCATGATGGTCTGGGCTGTGCACACAATTTTCTGTAGTTTCTTAAGATCCTAGGCATGGCAGTTGCCATACCAGGCCATTATGCTTTAAATGGTGCATCTGTAGAAGTTAGTGAGGGTCCTTATGGACATGCCAAATTTCCTGAGCTGCCTGAGGAAGAAGAGGCCTTCTTGACTGTCATATCTACTTGGAAAGTCCAGGATAAGTTGTCAGTTATTGCCACTCCTAGGAACCTGATGCTTTCAACCCTCTTCACCTCAGCTCTGTTGATGTAGATGGGGGCATGTCTTCCTCTTCTCTTCATGAAGTCAATGATTGCCGACGTTGAGAGAGAGAGATTGTTATCATTGCACCACTATACCAAGCTATCTATCTCCTTTCTGTATTCTCACTCATTGTTGTTTGATATCTGTCCGACCATGGTAGTGTTGATGGCGAACTTGTAGATGGTGTTCGTTTGGAATTTTGCAACACAGTCGTGCATGTACAGGGAGTACAGTAGAGGCCTGAGTATGCATCCTTGGGGGGCTCCAGTGTTGTGTGTTATCATGGAGGAGGTGCAGTTGTCTATCCTCACTGATTGCGGTCTGCAGGTCGGAAAACTGAGGATCCAGTTGCAGAAGGCGGAGCCGAGACCTAGGTCTCAGAGTTTTGAGATCAGTCTGGAGGGGATTATGGCGTTGAAGGCGGAGGTGTAGTCGATGACCAATTGTCTGACCTAGGTGTCCTTGTTGTCCAGATGTTCCAGGGATGAGTGCAGGGCTGGGGAAATGACATCCTCTGTGGACCTGTTACATCCGTAGGCAAATTGCAGGGGATCTAGGCAGGCTGGGAGGCTAGAGTTGACATGGGCCATGACCAGCCTCTCGAAGCACTTCACGATATGGAGGTCAGAGCCAGCAGTCATTAAGGCACATTGCATGTGCTTTCTTAGGTACTAAGGATGATGGTCGTCTTCTTGAAGCAGGTGGGGACTTTGGCTTGTAGGAGGGAGAGGTTGAAGATGTCAGTGAATACCTCTGCCGGCTGGTCTGCACAGAATCTAAGTGTATGGCCGGGGTCTGTGTCCGGGCCCATCGCTTTCCTTGGGTTGACTCTCCGGAAGACTGACATAAAGCGAAGTACTGCAGATGCTGGAAATCTGAAACAGCAACAGAAATTGCTTGAGAAACTTGCCAAATCTGGAAATCTGCAGAGAGAGAAACAGAGTTAATGTTTCAAGACCAACAACTCTTCTTTTGAACTGGTTTTTGTTTTCTGTTTTTATTTTTTTAAGAGGTTGTCACTTTTTAAACCAAAAGTGGCATTTTCTTCTGAACTGTTCAATTCTCTGCTTGTTTAGTTTTGCTTTGCTCAAAAATGTTAATTGATCAATAACCTTTTAACAATTGCGTCAGGTGTGGGTGTTCTCAACACATAGGGTTAACTTAATCAATATCATTAATAATTGGAAAATTACCCTGAACTCAGCAATTTGGAAGGTGATTTACAATATATATAATGACTTGGAAGTAGAAGGTGAATTTGCTGTACTCAAATTTGCAGATGGCATAAAATTAGGTGGAAAGGCAGGTTGCGAGAGGGATACAGTTTACAGAGAGATTTTGATAGGATAAGTAAGTGGGCAAAAAGTTGGCAAATGGAGTATAATGTGTAAAGATGTGAAGTTGTTCATCTTGTAAGGGAGGAAATAAATATAGGGTATAATTTAAATTGGGCAAAACTGCAGAAAGCTGCAACATAAAGGGACTTGACATCGAAGTTCGCCACTCTAATTTTCTTTCTTGTCCTCAGTCCTTCTGCTCTTAATTTTACAATCTTTCAACTTGATTGCTGAGGGAGATTGATAGCTACTTGCCTGAGGGTTCTTGTGCAGGGGTAGTGTCCCTACCCCTGAGCTGGGGGGTCCTGGTATAGATCCTACCTGCTCCAGAGGTCTGTCCTAACATCTCAGAAAGAAGTTGATTTGGGAAAATATCTCACAGCGACTTGCACAGTTCACTCGTGTCCTGCACGTGATCTTTCCCTCAACCTTCAGCAACCTGTGATTTCAAAGAAAATCTAATCCAGGTTATCCCAATTAACTACAGGGACTGCTCCAGCAAGCGACAGCCGTTGTGGTACCGGCTGATGCTGTGGAGGGGAAGTGCGTAGATGAGGAAATAAAAGTTGGGGGGCCAACCAAAGCTTCATTTCCTGGGTGCCTCCACAGGAAGAGCAAAAAATTTGTGAGATTCTGTGGCTGTGACTACAGAAGTAAGAACAGAACTGAGCAACCACAGTATCACCCAGCTGGGCCTGCTATTTAAACATTTAAATTCAAAACCAGAAAGAAAAGCTGTAACTTTTTTTTTCCCCCAACAGCACTATTTTGCAGCACAACGACTCTTTATAATTTGACTACCGTCTTTGGCTGAAATTGTGCCCAAGTCTGACCCCTGTCTTCAGGAATAATATTTCCCCACAGGTTCTGCTTTTGAATATTCAACTGTCTATTTGTCTCCCTCTAGTGTACAAAGAACAGAAAAGCAGCAGCATTTGTTTGGCGCCTAATTTGAGGTCCTTGACCTTCTGCAACGCATTGGGGCATTTATTGCTGCAGTGCTGAAGCAG